GAGTTGCATGAAGTAGAAATTCGGTCTTCGAACACTCCTGGCGAATGTTCTCCAAAAAGCTGCGTAACTGGCGGGCCAACGTTGTCGAATTTAATTTAATTTTACACGCCGCATCAAGGAACCGAAGACACTTAAATCTTCTTATATTTTCCCTATCCGGCTCGAAGGACCATTTATGATTATTTATTTTTTATCTGGTGGGCGCTGGTTAACAACAAAATCTTGGTTTTACGTTTCCATAAACTTTATTATTAATTACACTTAAACTATACATATAAATAGCGATTAGTTGTGGCGAGAGTTATATAGGGAGCCTTGCTCCGCGTAAATTGAAGGGGTACTGTTTCGGTGGGTGTTAAATCGAAGACTGAATAACTGATACGAGTTGAGCTCGCAGGCTCCTTCTTTATTTTAGGTCATAACTAAAAACCCTTACCTAAACACCGAAATACCCCAACGCATTCCCACACTTAACTCCACCCAATAAATAATGCGATAAAAGACTCTAATATTGCGACTCGAGACACTTCAAATCTAGACTAAACAAATGAGGCGATACAAATAAATCCAATATAAATGAACTAATATAATATAAACCTATCAAATCTAATATAAATTAACCAATATAATATAAAATCTAACAGAGTGCTTAAGCCGGACGTTGGGCTGCTGCTGCTGCTGTCGCGTCAGCGTTAATCTCTTCGGAGTAAAACAAATCGTTTTTACAACGTTTTAAGTAAACCCCTTTTTAATTTTTTTTCTATTATTAATCAAGTCGATTTTTTTAATGTAAAAAAAAGGTGTTGTAGACGTCGTAAAAAGAGATTCCGATTTTACCATTCTATGTGCACAGTGTACACACATCTTTTCAGTTGACCAAATTAGGGTTCGTTGAAAGTCCTTAAAATGTGAAATTTGGGGGGGATTTCGCTGTGTCGACGTAGGACTTACAATTAGGAAGGGAGAAGAGACCGCCACCGGAAGATCGGACTTCCGTCGTCGTCGCTACCTGATCTCGTTAGCGAGACTTTGTCTCTTTGTGCGTCGTCGTCCCAATCTCCTTGCGAATTAAATTCGGGCGGAGCCCCATAATCATAATCACCGCCTTTACTCGTAAAAACCGCGCACCGGCGAATTCTTCTTCTTTCCCTACCACGATGCCGTCAGTTAATTTTAAACGGGACCGTAAAGGGGATAATCTCTCGGTGCGGACCGGTCGTAAAGCGGCCTCGTAAAAAATTTAAATACCTCGCGAATATTTCGTGTGTCCCAGACAGTTTGCCGATTGTTTTTCACAACTTTGTTTGTTTAAATGAGAATATACGGATCTCTCCTTCTTTGTATGGAAATTTATTCCTATACTAAAAAATTATCTTTTAAAATATTTCAAACTTATTTACATAAACTTACAACATAAACTAACGTTATGGTCATTTTTTTATGAATTTTGATAGATACCTCCGATAACCTTACGCTTTTATTCAAGTTATGTAAATTATTTAGCAAATAGTCACATAACAAAACTATTTTATATTTACAGAGTCATAAGAAACTAATTTGAGCATACAAAAATTTGAGTTCACATCACCACTTTTATTACACCTTTAATAAGGAAATCTTGAAAATTGTTGGGCGGCAAATTTATATTGAAACAGAAATGAAAATAACTGGAAATGAGGAAACGAGATGCTAAAAGTTGTTGAGCACAAGGTACTTTGAAGCGAGAATACTCCTTTCCGTGTTTTCTCCGTAAAGTCATGATTATTAAACACTTCGAATGCACTGAAAACACAGTGTAGTGAGGTAATAGACAATATCTGCCTTAGATGACAATTATTAAAAATTATTTTTTTACAGAATCGAATAAAACATGGTTTAAGTCACCATAAAAGTTGTAAACAATGTATTTGTATTGGAACACCTTCCACAAGCATATCTAAACCAACAGAAGATTCGTCATTAATATATTTGTGCTTCGCTATGGATTGCAAAAGGATATTACCAGGATGGTTGTTTTTTTCTGCCACATTTTGTCACATTGCCAAATCGCTGTTAATGTCCTGATTGATACTACGTTATGAGGTTGTGGTAGTATTGGAGTCAAGTTTAACACCATAGTCAAGGAAAATGCAGATCTCGGATAATCTTGGAAGGTAAAAACATCAAATTTAGTTCATAACTAGAAAGATCGTAAATATAATATACTCGAATTCAATTATCTATCAGAATAACTTAATGAACCAGATGAGTACACATAATTCAAATTTGGCAATGGAACAAAAATTTTAGGAGTTAATTTAATGCATTTGATGTTGCATAGAATTAGTTCCAAGACAGATTTTTCAGAATAGTTAAAAAAGAATTTTACGGAGTGGTGTTATATCTGTTATCTTAATATTTGGTTTGCAAGACTTTTTTTTCTATCTATGTTGGGTTGGGTTGGGTTTTATGTAGTCAGTATTTTGATTATTGTCT